TCAGAAAGTTGCAAAAGGCCACAAGGCAACCGTCATAAATAAGACTCAGTTGCCAAGCATCTGGTTTTTGATCACGTGACCACGGGGCTGCTGCAACAGTCGTGTGAAAAACGGCCCCAAATCACTGTTTGCAGGGCCGTCGTAAGTTGGAACGGTCACTATATGAGCCGTTGTAAGTTGAGTCAGAAGGACAGGTCAGTCGCCGAGCATCTGAATTTTGTATCACGTGACACCCCCCCAGGGATGCTGCAACGGCCGTGTAAAAAACGATCAGAAGTCGCTTTTTTGCAGCACTGTCGTAATTTCGAACCGTCACTAAATGCAGTAAGTCGAGGACTGCCTTCGTTTGGTTCAGAAGTCGGAACTTTCCATGAAATTTTCAAACTGGTGCCGATTTCCACTGAAATGCAGACCTGGAAATCTAGAAAAGAGGGGCGGGCCAAGCTCCCTGTTCAAAAAATGGATTTCTTTACTAAGCTGTTACGGGACTTAAACTAGAGACTGGACAATTAAAGGGATCCCCTTCCCCCCCCTTTCCCAGGGGTTTTGCCTCTAGCCGATAGGCTGCTTCTGGTCATGGAGGCTCCGTTGATAAGGATTAAACCTAATGCTTCCCGTTTCCATCAGGTGTCTTTCCCCTCTGCTTCAACCAATTGTGGCTTTGAAGTCAACTTGGTTTTATCCGTGGAGATTAGGTTCCTAATGCAGATAAGACTTAGGCCAGGGGTCTTCAAACTTGGCCCTTTTACGACTTGTGGACTTCAACTCCCAGAATTCCTCAGCCAGGCACGCGTGCCTGGCTGAGGAATTCTGGGAGTTGAAGTCCACAAGTCGTAAAAGGGCCAAGTTTGAAGACCCCTGCTTATGAGCATTTCTCACACTTATGACCGTGCCTGGCTGAGGAATTCTGGGAGTTGAAGTCCACAAGTCATAAAAGGGCCGAGTTTGAAGACCCCTGATTTAGGCATTGCCAGGATAATCCATTTAACCGACATGGTGCGTGTTTCCGACAACTTCCCCTTTAGAAAAAAAAAAAGCTAGAAAAACAACTGACCCTACAAAAAAGGCCAGTTTTGCCATCTGGGACATCCTCTATGTATGCAATCCGTTTTCAGTTCTGTTTGCAACAATTCTCTTTAAAAGCTTGTTCGTACCCCACGGTTCTCCTCGGGACCCCCATCCCTTTCCCCGTGTCCTTTGTGCCCGAAGACCCAACCTGACACACCTCGCTTTGACCACAACACTGCATTGCAGAGGTAGGGAAGGGGTAAAAAAAAAAAAAGGAGAGATAAATGTGTTAGGGTTTTTGTGTGTTTCGGGAACGCAAATGCGTCGGCACGCGTTTTTGTAAGCAAAACGAGCCGATTTATCCCTTCCTTCTCTCCTTTTGCAACCTCTGAATGGAGAGAAACACTCTGGGCACCCCCCCAAAAAAAACTGCACAGGAGGCAAATCTTAAATGTGTGTGCGTTGTTGAGCCCCCCCCCCCAATTCTGAAAAAAGCAGAGAGGCAGACCCCCAGGGAGATCGGGGTGCTGTCGGTGAAGCGTTCGGCTCTCTTTTTTCATGCCGACCCTTTTTTCCCCCTGTGCTGGCATTTTAAACCCCTTCGTAAACTTTGAGCGGGCCAGCTTTCGATGCATTTCATTTTAAATACATGGCTGGGAGGTCTGGGAGGTCATAAATAAGGGGGTGCACCCCTCTGCGGTGGCCACTCAGCTCGGAAACCTTTGGGGGGTGGGTGGCTTTGAGAATATATTTTTTTTCCTTTGGGCAGATTCATAGCTGCTGACTCGGCACCGGCTGACGAACGAGGCACTCTCCGCCAGCAGGGTTTTTCCAGGGATCCATCAAAGGCCATGATTTAGCCCCCTGGCATCTTGGGGGGGGTGCATAACGTATCAGCCCAAAGGGGGCCACGGGGGAGACTATCCCAGGCACCTTGGGGGCTCCATTTGCTATTAAAACGTGTCGGGAAATGCGGCCCACGCTGGCAGGAAGGGCACGACTGCCTTTATTTTGGGGCTGAGCGTAGAGTTTGCTAATTCTGAATTTAGTTTAATCCCCCCTCCCCTCCTTCTGCGAATCCTCAAAGGTTTGGCTGCCACGTTCTAACTAAGCATTACCTACCTCTCGAAGGGGCGTCCTCCCTCCCGGCGTGGCCAATTTAGGCAAAGCTGCCATCTAGCATCTCACTGTCTCGGCTCCAGGGGAGGCTACCGCTGGCCATCATCCTCTCAGTCCTTCAAAGATATATCGAAACGGCTGTTTTAAGCTGTATGTGCAATGGAAAAGAATCTCAGATCTAAGCATGATGTCATGTGTCTGATTAACGAAACACTTAAAAGAACTTTCAGGCATTTTTTTTAACCTAAAAGCCTTTATTAAGGTTACAGAGATGTCAGTACGGCATGGTGGAATGCTTAGATCCGAGATTCTTTTCCGTTGCACATAACATTCCAGGCATTTTTCCCTCCCCTATTTTGGGGTCACGGTTCACATCTTCCAAGTTAACTTGGAAGATGTGATTCACTTCCGGTTTCTTTTTCCCGAGCTTTCCTTATTCTCCTCCCCTTTCACTGTTGCCTGATTTAACTCTAAAAATACCAGACAGTTCTGCATATTGTCAAAGCAAGAATATACAGTATTTGCAGCGTTGACATCTTTCTCCTAACCAGGGGAGACACTTGGCAGCCATGGTGCGTTTTTGCACCCGCAGGCCTGGGCTGCTCAATCTGTACGTTTGCCTGGGTGGAGGTGTTGGGAGGGACCTCGCGGCTCCCTCTGAAAAGGGGGGTCCAGGGGACCCCACCTGTCCCCTTTGGGATGCTGTCGATGGGGAAAGACCCAGCCCATGGGCACAAAACGGCCAAGGTAAAAATGTGGACATTTTAAAAGGATATCCCAGATCAGTGGTCTCCAGACTTGGCAACGTGAAGACTTGTGGACTTCAACTCCCAGAATTCCCCAGCCAGCATGGAATTTTGAGGAATTAAGAGTCCACAAGTCTTAAAAGTTGCCAAGTCTGGAGGACCCCTGTCTAAGACAGTGGGGAATGATGGTAAAATGTCATTTGGACTTCTTTTCCTCTGTTCCGAAGCACTTCCTGTCTTCCAATGAGAAGGAAGCAAACCCGGAGAAGCAACTCGTACAGAGAGGCGACAGGCACCCTCCCTCCCACTCAATACAACGCCCGCTAGGACGCTGCTCACAGATAAAAGAGGGTGGTGAAGGGGAGCCCTTTCTGGGGATAAAGTGAGGGCGACAGCCACGCCGGGGCCACGAGGCTACCCGTTGTGCCTCTCAGAGCGTCCGAACAGTCTTCCTTCCTCAAAGGCTGGGAAATATCAGAACTGAACCTGGATGCAGATGGTTGAGGCAGCAGAATAAACAGATGTGCAAGCAGAAGGCAGCGGTGGCATCTTAACTCAGGGGTCCTCAACCCCCAGTCCAAGGACCGGTACCGGGCCGCAGCATGCCAGCAACCGGTCCGCACAAACAAGCAAAGCCCCATCCATGGGATGCAGGCAGCACACAAAAGCACGCACTCTCCGGTCCGTGGAAAAACCTCTCTCCACGGAACCGGTCCCTGGTGCCCCAAAGGCTGGGGGCCTCCGACTTAACTGTACCCCGTTTCTGTTTTCATTGCACCCCAAACTGCCTCTGGGTCCTTCCCATCTGTTTCCTTCTTTGCTTGCTCTGCAAAACAGACTCTTCCCAGTGGGCTCGCACAACGCCCAGGTGGGCGCTGGGTTCAAATCTCCCCCCCTCCCCAAAATTGAAAAAGAGAGCCAAGCCAGGGCCCTAGAACTTGAAATTAATCAACGAAGCAGGAGTCTAATTGCGGCGTTTGCTTGCTTATTAAAAAGATGGCAGGGGGTGGAGCGGTGACCTTTGATTTGTCGCCCCCCCCTCTCCACCCCCGAAAAGACCTCGTCCCGGGCAGATATCGGCACTTAAATTTTGTCTTAGCAACAAAGCAGGAGCGCCTGGCAGGATCCCGCCAGCCGCCGAAAATACGACGCAGCCCCAGAGTTTTGAGGAACGTGTGCAATTAAAAAAAGACATTTCTGCACACTGCTGAGGAGAAGAAAGATTAATCCTGCCAGGAGCAGCCTCCCCTTACAAAACCCACATGGTATGCATTATTGTGCGGAATTTATTAGGTAAATATTTCTTGAACAGAGGCTGCTGCATAATGGATTCCTTGAAAGAATCCCAGAGAGAGGCGACAGGAGTCCTCACCTCTCCCCAGATCCTGCAATGTCCCACTGTCTCCAGCCCCAGAGATTCCTTCCTTCCTTCCTTCCTTCCTTCCTTCCTTCCTTCCTTCCTTCCTCCCTCCCTCCCTCCCTCCCTCCCTTCCTTCCTTCCTTCCTTCTGAGGCTCAGCTTTTAAGCATCATCTTAAGAAGCAAATCCATTTTTGGGGAGCTGAAATGTGCAATCCTCAAGGAAGTGTATTCCAGCCCATTGTTGCGGTGACCGAGTGCAGATGTGCAACTGACCGGGACGGTGCCTGTTGCACAAACATCTTTGTGCACGAAAAATTGGCCATATGGCTCTAACTTTGCATCCTGCTAAGCTGGCAGCCAAGCTTCCGTTGTACTTCAGTGCCTGGAAAATGTATTCACCGATTCCACTCTTATTCCATGTGCTCAAATATCCTGGCCATCTAAGGCTGCTGTGCTTTTTTAACGCCCCCACTTTACAATGCATAAAGAAAATTATTTACATCGCACATAAGATACTGTTACCATGGTGGGTTTTCCTGTATTGTTTGTTTTTAATTAAACGGGATGACAAAGCCAGAGGAGACACAGAGAAGAAAGAGGCTGATAACAAGACTGTAAATAATTTAGAAAAGGAAAGGAAAAGAAGGTAGAAAGGAAAAGAATAGAAGAAAAAAAAAGGCGATCAACTGAGAGGTGGAGGCTTGGCGGAGCTGTTCTGAGGGGGGGGGGGAGAAGCCGGGTGGCTAAAATGCACCCCTTCCTCCGTTCACGTCAGTTCCAAAGCGACTGTAAAGAAGAGAGGCAGAAATAGTCTGAAGCTGCACTGGAGACTCGGCGAACCTGCAGAAGAGGATGGAGAAGAAGGAAAGAAGGAAGGAAGGAAGGAAGGAAGGAAGGAAGGAAGGAAGGAAGGAAGGAAGGAAGGAAGGAAAGAAAGAAAGAAAGAGAAAGAAAGAGAAGGGAAGGAAGGGAGAGAGGAATGAATGAATGAAGGAAGGAAGGAAGGAAGGAAGGAAAAGGGAAGGGAGGGAAACAGAAAGAAAGAGGAAGGAAGGAAGCAAGGAAGGAAGGAAGGAAGGAAGAAAGAAAGGAAGGAAGCAAGGAAGAAAGAAAGAAGCAAAGGGAAGGAAGGGAGGGAGAAAGAAAGAAAGAAAGAAAGAAAGGAAAGAAGGAAGAGAGAAAGAAAAGCGAAGGGAAGGAAGGGAGAAAGAGACAGAGAGAAAGAAAGAAAGAAAGAAAGAAAAAAGAAAGAAAGAAGGGAAGGAAGGAAGGAAGGAAGGGAGTGAGGGAGAGAGACAGAGACAGAAAGAAAGAAGGGAAGGGAAGGGAAGGAAGGGAAAGAGAGAAAGGAAGAAAGAAAGAAAGAAAGAAAGAAAGAAAGAAAGAAAGAAGCAAAGGGAAGGAAGGAAGGGAGGGAGAAAGAGAGAAAGAAAGAAAAGGAAGAAAGAAAGAGAAAGAAAGGAAAAAAGGGAGGGAGAGAGAAAGAAAGAAACAAAGGGAAGGAAGGAAGGGAGGAAGAGAGAGAGAAAGAAAGAAAGAAAAGGAAGGAAGGAAGAAAGAAAGAGAGAGAAAGGAAGGAAGGGAGAGAGAGAGACAGAAAGAAAGAAAGAAAGAAAGAAGGAAAGAGAAGGAAGGGAGGGAGAGAGAGAGAGAGAGAGAGGAAGGAAGGAAAGAAAGAAAGAAAGAAAGAAAGAAAGAAAGAAAGAAAGAAAGAAAGAAAGAAAGAAAGAAAGAAAGAAAGAAAGAAAGAAGGATTTAGACGGGGCCTCCAGGTTCAAAATTGCAATCCCTTCCCGCCAACTGCAAAGCTGTGGATTGCTGACTTTGCCAGGCGCGGCTTCAGGCATGCAACGGTGGGAAAGTGGAAAGGTGGGCCGTGCATGGCCAGGGCAGGGAAGCCACATGCAGAAGCCCACAAGAACAAGACACTGAGCTGAGCACAAATTCCAGGGGGGGGGGAGGTTTAGGGAAGAAAATTGGGGCAGAGC